CGTGTAGGCGGTACATTGCATTGTCTTATTACTTAAATGTACATGCACTTAGTGGACACTTTATGGGGCATCTTTGGATTCTTTTAGTTGTATTTCTTTTAATTTTAGTATAAATTTTCAATTCTTTTTGTATTCCAATTATTGTTTATTCCATTTTTTAAAAGCCAAAAGCTAATTAACAATTAAATGTGTTCAATAATAAATTAGGAGTTAAGACAAGTGGCAGTAAGCAGTTCACTGCCTGTCTTTTGTGGGACATTGTCATATGAAGGGTGCATGTGAAGGAATGTGATTTTGGTCTTGAAAATAAGTGATTATTGGTTCTTTATATAGTTTTAATCAATTACAAAATAATGAATTTAGGTTACATGCAAATTTCAATGAGACATCAAAATTCCTCGCAATGCTGTCAAATCGATTATTAGTTCACATGGAGAATAATAATGTAATTTAAAATATCAATATATATATTTAAAGAACGTTCCAACTCAAATTCCTCTCACTAATTTTTTATTATATATTGACTTTAAGAATATTAAAAGTATAATTTATTTCCATATCTTAGCTTGGAATAATTTGTTATGTATATATTTTGGAGTTTGGGAAACAGATACTCAATTTAAAGTGAGTAAACAAAATTCCATACTCACTCTTCTTTCATTTAAGGAAAATTTCAATTCTCCTTGAAAATACAAACATCTCAAAACAAAATTATATAAATGACATAAAACTTATCACACCCATTTATGTATAACACAATTATATCACAATCATTATTTTCTATATATATAATTAAGTTAACAATTTATCTTCCCAACCATCATTTTTCTTTGCTTTTAACAAAAAATAAAATGTCACTTTTCTCTCATCAAAATTAACGGCCATTACTTTTTCCAATGCTCTCATTGTGGGTTTGACACGTATTCATGGAGCTGCTATTAAATGTACTGGTATTTAGATTCTTGCATTTTTTATTTTTATTTTTTTGTACATTTTTTTTCAGTTTTTCAGTGTCATTGTATTGATTAATGTTTTAATTACACTAATGCTTCTCTATGTGTTATGTAATCTGGTTTGAGATTTTTTTTGATCCACTTATTATTCTTTTTTTCTTTTTTATGTTTGTACTGAAGTTTAAATCTTGTATTTTGTCTTCCAATTTTTCTAATTATATTTAATTATTTTGTAATTGTATTTAATTATTTTATAAGTTAAAGTCAACAATTAATTTTAATCATATATTTTATAGTACCCACAACTTTTTAACCACACATTCTATCAACTTTTATTAAAATCTTGTAAAAATCTAATTTTAGTCTTTATCAAACAGGATTTTAATATTCATAGGGTCCTCATATTTGAAATTTGGATAAAGCCCCCCAAAATATAAGGGACGGCCCTGCCACTAAGCCATATTATAAAAGATTTAAAATAGAAAAACACATCTTTTAACCTTTTAATTCAGAGATATTGACGTAACACTCAGGTTACCATGGAAGATCAATTATGATATATATAACAGTCAACTAAATAATTTTGTCCGTTTAGAGAAAGATTGGTGCAGAACGTGACAAAATGATGGAATTTAAAAGTAAATTGAAGCTTATGACCCTTTAAAGTTTGCTAAACTAAAATTCCGATGACCAAATGAATTTTGCCCACCATTGATATGTCCTGTAGACATGTAAAAAAAAATCCTAAGATGATGATAACGTTCCATCTGGATGTTATTTTTTAATAATTGTTTGTTATTTTTGGGGTTGGTCACAGTGACTCCACAGTCAAAACAATAATTCAAAACCATTGATTAATCGAGACCCTTCCTTGAAACAACCTATTCTAGAAGATATTTATTAGTTCATTTTGAGCATCATTTTTCAAAAATTTATGTTTTGTCAACAACACGTTCTCTTAGTCCGTGTTGGAAATTAAAATCAGATTTTTAGAATAAATTGTTGACTTTGATTTAAATTAACATTTGAGTTTTAATCCCTACCAAACATGGGCTTAATAAAATAATTTCACATGTAAGTTCAAAACTTTTACTTACTTTTTCTATATGTCTTCAAAAAATCACTATTACAAAATTTATTCTTCCAAAAATTGGGGCTCAAGCAAACCCTATCCACATAAGGGATAATTTTTGGACAATATGTAATAAAGATTTTATTAAAAGTTTTAGCAGATTTTAACAAAAAAAAATTATGAAACATGTTGAGAAATTGATGAAAATTATGGATCCTATGAATTGTGTGATTAAAATTATAATTTTCATTAAAAAATTTGATAGAACTTTGCCCTGTTTGGCCCAATATTTTGAAACTATTTTTTCTTCAAAATTATTTTTAACTACACATTGTATGGGACTAACAAATTTTATTAGTTTTTTCAAAATATATTTTAACAATTTTTATCAAAACATACTAAAAATGTGATTTTTAATCAAACCAAATGGATGCTTTAGTAAAGTTTAATCAAACAAGGCGATATTTTGAGATTTAGTTGTTGCTTTTCTGAATGTAGAACATATCAGAGTTGGTGTCTAGATGATCTCACTCTCAACTAAGTTGATGCTTTTATCTTTTTATTTTTATTTTTAAAAACGAAAAGCGAAGTACAAAATGTTAGGAAAAGTACAAAACTTGTATGTCGATCCACGTAAAATTTCTTCAATTCATTTCAATTTTCAAAAGCAATTGAGATTAAAAAAAAATACGTATTATAGGGATAAATCAAAATAAAAAATTGATGTTTTTCTTCACAAGGTGCTTACAGTTGGCCTAAGAATAAAGTGTAAAGAAAATCCAAAACCTATTTACATTTTGATTTAGATTATATATCAATCGAAGCTAATGCAAGGTAAATCAACCACATTTTTCAAAAGTTAAAGTAGGTAGGAGAAGCAAAATTTAGCCATTTATCACCTAAAATCAGGCTCGAGAATCCACCACGAACACTATTCATTTGAACCTTCCAGCGAAGAATTCTTTTTAAAATAGGATCACCCTCCTATTTAAGCGTTGCTCTGCATCGTAGGCCTAGTAAATGGTTGGAGATTTAGTCCGATGTTTATGGCCTTCGTGAAGTTTATGTCTTTGATGATAGTGACCACCTTCTTTCGTCATTGTCTTGTGTTCTTCACTTACTTTTTGGGAATTACCATTTGTTGAAACCGCAAAGACAAATGTGCCAATTGGGACGTCATGATCAAGATCTTTCACGGGCTCCAAAACTTGTATCACATCACTCATCGTAGGTCGAAGCTTAGGCCTATGGCTTAAGCAATGATAAGCCAATGCAGCAACCTTTTGAGCCCCTGCTTCCGAGTACTGCCCTTCCAGCCTCGGATCCATTATCCTACTTAACTTTCTATGATTCTTCAGCATAGGCCTAGCCCAATCCGCCAAGTTCTGTTCTCTTTGAGAACGGGTTTTGTCTACTGATTTTTTGCCTGTTAGTAGCTCCAATAGTAATACTCCAAAACTGTACACGTCACTTGCTGCAGTCAAATGACCTGTCATGATGTACTCGGGGGCAGCGTAACCTTGTGTCCCCATAACCCGTGTTGAAACATGTGTGTCATCGCCTTCTGGACCGTCTTTTGCAAGCCCAAAGTCTGATAGTTTAGCAGTGTAATCCTGGTAAGAAGACGAGACAAGTCGTTAGACAAGTATTTTTAGTCATATATATACACACGCGCACGCACAGACACATGCATTAATATATGCATAGAGTATAAATAACATACCGAATCTAGCAAAATATTCGAAGCTTTGAAGTCTCTGTATATGACAGGTTTCTCAGCTTCATGGAGGAAAGCAAGCCCTTTTGCAGCTTCGAGAGCAATTTTAATTCTTGTCGACCATGGAAGCGAAACCGAATATCCTGCATATGATTTTGGTTATTAGAAAATGTATAAATTTAATACAATCTGCAATTGATTATTGATTTGTTTAAAATAATTTTTTTTATATCTAATGTCAACTATATATCCACCACGAAGAAAACAAATACATAGTTGACTTTTTCCATTAAATTAAGCCCTTTTTAGCCAGTTGAATACCAATAGCTGGTATATGAGAATTACAGCTCATGTAAATGGACATATGTAAAAATGAAAAGCGGGGACGAACTTACTTCTGAAGAGTTGATTCTCGAGGCTGCCTCGCGGCATATATTCATATACCAGAAGCCTGTGTTGTTCTTCACAACAGTATCCAATCAATTTCACCAAATTTGGATGTCTCAATTGACCAAGAAAAATCACTTCAGTCTGTTGAAATGTAATAAATTTTCTTATTGCATGCAATGAAATATTTGAATAATTTAAAATTGATTAGCAAATTACTGTACATACCAGCCATTCTCTATGACCTTGTGTCCCATCCAAGTCGAGGAGCTTTACAGCCACTGGCTGAGCCTTCAAACCCGGTCTCAGCTTGTCATCAATGAAGCCTTTGTGAACAGGCCCGAACCCTCCCTCGCCAAGAAAATTGCTGGACGAGAAATTCTGAGTAATCAGTTTCAGCTCTTGAAGCGTGAAGACGTGAATGTTGGAGCCTGCTAGAGAAATAGATAGATCTTCGGAAAGTGTTGAACTGCTTAAATCCGTTAACGAAATCCTCTGAAATGAAGGTTGTTTAGAAACAGCCTTTTTTGGCTCGTTCTCAACCCTGAAACACCTCGGAAAATAGTCTTGCCATTTCATCGTGGTCGTCGTCTTCTTCTTCTTCATCATCACTCCCATTAATTATTTCCCAGCAAATAATAATCGAATCACAGGATAAAAATGTTTATATGAAGAAAATAAAGAGAGGTATGCAACTCCTTTATAAGACCATCCTATTATATATATGCACATAAAGATAGAGACTGTGCGCGTATAGGTGTGGAAGCTTAAACAATGAGCAAAAATAAGTCCACAAATATGGTTGAATTGAAAATGACTTGGCTGCCTCTTAGTGCCTTGTTATCCAACCATTCATTTTTCTTCAAACTTATTTTAAATTGCCTCTTCATATTATTTAAAAAATTTAATGATAGCCATTTATTTATGTGTTGGAGAAGCTTGCAAGAAACGCTAAAACTGGTTTTTTAATTATTTTCATGGCGTGGAAAAATATTATAAATATATATTCCTAGCTAGTAAATATGTTTCTCTTGCGTGTTTCTTCACGCGGGATTTTGATTGCCAAAATTGCCATTTATTTAGTAAGAAGGACAAAACGGTCAAACATATACGCGCTGCAAGCAGAGTGTTGATGCAAAAAATATTTTTAAAATGAAAGTGGTTAATCCATTGTTTGATTTCAAAATGCATTTTTTCTCTCTATTTTTTTCAATCAAATAATATTACTCTTAACACCTTCTCATTAAAATTGGCCCAATCCTGGATCAGCGTTTTTATATATGGTTTTCGATTTTAGCTGAATTTTTTAACTAAAATTTAATTCATATGAATTTACATGAATGAATATGTAAATAGAATGATTATCAATTTTGTTGTCTGCAATAAAAATCGTGAGACAGAAACAAGAAGATGCATCCGTTTATTTTTACAATTTATTTTTGAAGTATAAAAGAATAATATGGACCATTTCAAAAAAGATTCAACTATTCCCTTTTCACTATTCTTATTAGGGATCAAGCCGAACCACTTGCGTCGACCCAATTAAGGATCAGTTCAATCATTTTAAATAAATTATAATTGCTGATCACGTTTTCATAATAGTATGACTATTACTCGTTTGGAATATAGACAACATACGACTTTGCAAAATGGAAAGAAATTTCTGCCAAAAAAATAATATCTTTTTTGCTAAACACGCTAATGATTTGGTCAAACAAAATGTACAACATTCTAGAGACTTGAAAAGAAGGTGGTAGGTAGCTTTGCAGTTCCAGTTTGCGTGCATACATGTACAATAATGTTCTAGAAGCTCTGTTTCATGCATAATTAATTTTTTTTTTTTTTAAACCCTTCCTTGATTATTTTTTAATTATAAAAAATAATAAGAGGGGACTATAGGGTAGTAGGTGAGGCATCACCCTAGCATCACGTTGTGTCAGTCCTTGTTTGACAACTATTATTTCAAAAAAAAAATTTATATATTCATTTTTAATTACTACATACATATAATAAAATATTCTACATGTAAACTCAAAATTTTTCTTACTTTTTAACCACACATTCTCCAAAAAATTACTATTCAAAACTCCATTTTATCCAAATAATGGTTGTCAAACAGGAACTTAATGTGATCATTTAGCCCATGTTTAGTGGGAATTAAAATTAACTTTTTTTTTTTTTTTTGTAGATTTTGAATCTTTGATAGAAGTTAATAGAATGTATTGTTGAAAAGTTGTGCATTTTATTAAGGGCATGTTTGGTACGGCTCAAAATCCAATTAAAATTGAAAATATAGCCGTTATTGGATCTCACTCATCTAATAAAAGTCAACAATAACGGCTAGTTTTTTAATTTTAATCTGATTTTAATATCTACCAAACACCCTCTAAATATGTGGTTGAGTAGGTTGTTGACTTTCACTGAATTTAAAATCTAGATTTTAATAAATAATTTACATCCATTATTATTCTAGATTCCATTATTATAAGAAGTCAATGGACTTTAAAAATATTTTGTTGTTGGACGTGTGAGGTTTAATCATACTGAATTCATTTTGAATAGAGAAAATTACCTAAAACCCTTCTTTTTAAGATTACTATTCAAAAATAAGGGGATAAAGTTTACAATTTAAAAATCGGGTGATAAATATGATTATT